TCGTCTAACCAACTCATCCCAGACCGGGGAGATCTGGCCCTAGGATAGCACTGACTGGAGCTCTGGGACAGTCAAGTTTGCACACTCAGCCACTAACCCTTCCCTTCGCGATTAGATTTATCCTCCTCTTCAGAACTACCTGCCTGTAATATTTCCTGCTTTCTTTACACAGTTCCTCTTGAGAACACCGGAGTACCATTTACCGAGAAACAGATACTGGTTGGAGAGATCCATCTATCGAGGTTCCTAAACAGTGCCCATAGCGGGGTTTGTGTGTGCGGGAATAAGAAAGCTTTATTACACACACGCGTATGCACATGGCATAAATAAGTACGTGCGTGGGAAGATAGCAAAATATAAACACATAGGACAAATGGGCTGGAAAAGGTAGAAAGAAACACTCATAACTCAATGCATAAACCATCCTGGGGAGACAGACTTCTAATTCCAAGAAACTGCTACAGTTTCTTTTACTCCTTAATGTAATGAAATTTTGCTCAATGTAATCTGTCTTTAAGTTAAAGGGATTGGAGATCGTGCGCATATTTTATAGACACGCTGCTTCCACTATGATAATAACCTTGTTTCTTACTGGGGAGGGGAAGGAAGGCGAGAGCAATTTGAATTATTTCATTTTGAATCACTTCTTTCCCTCCCTTGACAGCTTCAAAAACGTCCTTCAAGACTGAGCTCCTCCAAGAAGTTCTCCTTTTGGCCGAGTAGTTCCCCTCTTGTCCATGTGTGTCCTTCTCAGAGTGCCTCGGAAAGCAAGATTAAAGGGGAAAGTCGCAGCTGTATATTTATGTTTTCGTTGCTAGAGGGGAATTGATTTCCTTGCCTTTAGTCCTGGAGCTGAAATCCACAAGGGCGGATTTGCGTCACCAGAGCAACTTGCTGGTCGAGATAAAGTTGCACAAATATTGAAAAGGGAAGTGCTCGCGCTCATTATAAAGTTTTGCGCCGGAAGAAATAAGGATTTCTGCTGTATCCTAAAATACTAAAGCCGCTTCTATTTTGGGACAAATCTCGCAGGCGCATCCGCTCATTTAGTCCGAGCTGGAGCCTATCAAAAACAGGAGATGACCTGAACTTCAGTGAGTCCTGAGCTTCCTGCATCCTTCTTGCTTCTATGCAAGAGGAGGAGGGGTTGCGAGCCCCCTCGGCCACGGGGCTGTGCGAGTCTCCTTGCCTCGGAGCAGGGCCGGTTCCCGAGGAGGGGGCGGCTCTGGTTTCTGAGTGAGGAGGCTGTTTGTCTTGGGCAGGAGCTCTCCTTGGACATGCCGCAGGACCAGACGTCTTGCTGCTCCAGAGCAAAAGGGGGCGATCGCAATGCGTGCCCATAGGAGAGGGGAGCTGATATTTCGGATTAGGGGCCCCCTCACACCGAAGCATCGAATCCCCCGGGGAAAGCTTCTTGCTCTCACACAGGGGAACTCGCTGTTCCCAGCTGCCCCCGCAAGGGATCATCTTCGTGACTGACTGGAATAGTGGGGGGAGGCTTCTAAAAGGGGGCAGATTATTGACTCTGGAAAGGGGCCGTTTTGTCTAGAGATGGGGTGTGCGCGTGTGGAGGGGACTTGGCCCCTGGGCCGGTGATCTCCTAAAGTAATACCCCCCCCCCCAGAAGGAGGCAGCTGGGTTGTTGTCTCGGGAGTGGGGTTCTAGAAGGGGATTTTTGCACCTGCCTTTCCCGAGTCACTCAAGTGTCCCAAATCCAACCTGTCCAGTACAAGGCACGGCCCAGGGTCAAGTGCTTTGCTGCAGAGTGGGTACCACTTTCATCACATTATTTCTGTCCTTCAAGAATGAACCTCTCCCCCCCCTCCCCGCCCCCAGCACTTGGCTGGATCTCGCCCCACACGGAGCGGAAAATGCTAAGAAAGCAGGTTGGGTAGGGGGCTGATCACTCTTCTCTTGGAACTCCGGGATCCCACCTAGACTTGCTGCCTGCCGGACACGTGCAAAGGGGAGACTCCACCCAAAATTAGAGGGAGGGAGCGGAGATGAGTGGCTAAAACCAGACCAATGGAGGAGGCCCGGGCCAGGGCCAGGGCTGTCCTTAGGATGTGTAGGACCCTAGACAGTCCTAGTAAACTGGTTCCCCTCTGCCGGATGGCAGCTAGAAAGAATGACAGCTTTTTAGAGTTGTGATTTTATAATGTTCACTAATGAAAATGTTTAAAGAAAATTTTACGCTAAGGTCCCATAGACTAACACGGTAAATTTAGGAACTGACTGTATACACGAGGTTGGCAAATGCCGGTTAAATCGCTTCATTACCACTTGAATGGCCGTTTCACAGGTTGGGTGTTCTGCTAATAGGTCTGGCAGGCTTTTCCACTTTTAAGTTAACTAGATCTTCGCCAGAGCGTAACCACAGAACAGGGATGGGAAAAGCTAGGGAGGGGGTGACATTAAGACCCAGGGGTACCTCAAATATGTAGGTGCCCTACACCTAGGTTGCGTGTAGGTAGGGATGACTCTGGATTGGGTCCTAAATAACGTGAAAAAAAGTGGCAGAATCTTAACCTCATGCCTGAGTTAGTTCTAGAGAGAATCCTTGACCCATTATCATTGATTGCTGCTGCGAAAAACCAAGTTGTATTTCTTGTTACATATCCAAACGATGCTCATTGAGGTACCCGCTGTGCTGCACGCCCTACTTCCCAACAATCAGTGGAGAAAAGATTTCTCTTTCCTGCACACTTACTTTTTGTCGCTCTTAAAGTTTTACCTTGTTCCTGATCATACATATTCGCACTTATAACAATGCACAGTGATAAAACTGCCAAACCGCTGCTATCTGACGCCTAGCACTTTGCTAAATGTTTCTATGAAGTGTGTTTGATAAATACTAAAAGTGTCCTGTCATAAAGTTGCCTTGGAATATTTCGCTTTGAACAGATCTTTCAATAAACAAGATTTCCCGGGATTTCTTTCCCCAAAGTATTTCATTTGGAAGTGAACACTGTCATTTTATTACTGTGCTTCTTGATACAATCCCCTGTGTACACGATCTGAATCAAAGAGGAACATTACAAAGTGGCAAAAAGTAATTGTGTCTAGAAAAGAAAGCCCCCGTTCTTTGCTGATTGCTCTGAAATATCTTGAGCAGCCCTGAGATGAGTGGGAAATAATTTTTGTAAGAGCTCCTTTTATGAGCACGAATGGGATATTATTGAAGAACCATACTTCCTTATACTTTTTAAAATTAGATTGATAACATGTTTTCGTCTGGCTGAAATTCACAGGCTTGCTTTAAAGGCATCTGAAAAGGCGAAATGGGTGGGTTTTTCTTCTGCCGACAGATCTTTATATTTTAAAAAAATATGAAACATTCAAATCTAATTCGCCGTTTCCCCAAATACCCTGAGTTTCTGGATAAATCTTCACAATCCATCATGCTTCTATTATTCTGCGTAGTCTCATTAAAAATAAATGCTGAGTTGTTTTCTATAACTAGGTGAGTATGCATACATGAAATCACATATGCTGTTTATGCTGGCACTTGGCTGAGAAATAAGACAGTCTAAGATTACAGGTGATTTTTTTCCCCCGGCATTGGCTATTCAGACTTGAAGAAAGAAAAAAAGGTTGAATTTCTTGCTTTTCACCGAAAACTCTCGGAATTATTTGAAATGTTTAAAACGAACAAACACAGATGCAACCTGGCTAATGAAAATTAAATACCTACGAGGAGTTGTTAATATGTCCTTCTATAAGAAGATACTATAAAAAAATCTATTTCCATAGTCAAGTAGGTGGAAATGTGGATATTGAACATCACATCAGTTGCGTTGAAGCCTTGTTAGTAAAGCCCTCCAGAAAATATAGTTACTTATTTTGCCGTCTCCTAAATGTTTGTAGGGCTCTTTGTTTGTTTGCTGTATTTACAAAATACTTACAGAGTCTTTACAGTGAATGTATAAAGCAAATAGAAAAGTGCAAGGTACGTTCTTGACAAAAGTATACAATAGAACGAAGTTAGTACCATTGTCTGAAAGATCTGTCGCTATTATTTATAGGCAGCCCAGAGCCAACAGGGCAGAGTTCACGTAAGTACTTATACACCGCCCTTACTATGAAATGTACATTCTCTGCAGAACTGCCAAGTCTCACTTGTTTGGAAGGAAACGTCTCTAATGTGGAACTATTTTAAAGCAGGTTTTCGCTCTTATTATACAAGATTTTACTTTGTGTCGATGAAATATTTCGCAATCGGAACTGGTAGCTGAAGCGTGTCTCTAAGTCAGACTGCTACAGTCTTGTGATAGTCCGATGTGAGGACTAACACAGCAAACTTTAGGGAGGCTGAGCGGAGAGAGAAGAAGACAGCACTCTACACAGAAGAGTTTTAGGCTCCTTAGCCCATTTTAAGGAGGAAGCGGAGGGGAAGCAGCCCTGTTTATAGTAGGATTTTCAGCTCCCTTCTTTAGCTGTAGTGTGCGGCTGCACCTCCTCCCTAGTTCAGGATCCCGCAAGGTGGAAGGGGCATGAATAAGGGTAGCAGCGTGGGTAGATACATATTCACCCCCACCTCTATGCAGAAGCTCCGACGACAGAGGGCAGATCTGGGCTGCCAGTCCCCCCTTAAGGAGGAGTAGGGCGGGGGCTCGGGGCAGGCAAGCTAGGTATATAGAGCGGGATGTTCCCTTCAGCTCTTGCCCAGCGCCTTGCTCGGGGACAGGGAACGCTCCAAGTGCAGCGCGCGCTCCCCGGGGACGGCCGCAGGAGCTGCCCAGCGTGG